AAAAAAAAAAAAAAAAAAAAAAAGGGTGCTAAATTAGTTTCCGAGTTTCTGAAAGGCTTTTCTTTAAAGATTCGTGTGAGACAGATTGTGAATCTCCATTGCTACCTCAGGATTTGACTTTCTGTGCATTGCTAGCCAGTCTTTGGTTTGTATTTTTATTTATAAATACAAGGAACATACGGTACATCTTTTGATATAGGAATCTGCTTTTTTAACGTTTGTATCTTGTTTGCTTGTGTCAGGTTTAATAAGCAAAGCTGCTGATTCCTTTTCAGAATCATTTAATAGCCAGTGTACTTGTAAGTCACCAATGATCAAGAGCAGTTGGCTTAAATAAGAGCAGGAGCAAGGCCATAATAGTTTGGCCACAACTGGAGTGTTCTGTGGCCATGTCTAAAATGTTCAGAGAACCCAGGATGTGATGGGAGGTGTGTACTCTGGCCCCTCTTAGCAGTTGGTTGAGCTTGGGTACACACACAGTGAGCACGTCTACACGTTCATTAATATGCCATAATCTTAGCATGTTAAGTTCAGTTCCTGTAATAACAGGTATTAACTTAATGCGCCATAATCAGTACTACTGCACGTTAACACAGATGAATGCTTTTGTGTGATGCTTAATGTGTATTGGACTAAAGCTATTGTGCGTTGGCATGGTTTTTGCCAGCCGCACTAACGTGCTGTACAATTAGTCCAAGGCACGTGAAGCGTCTCATGTAGATGTGCCCAGTGGAAACAAGTGGGGGGCTTGTTTCTTGGCATCAGTCCCAAGCTCAGCAGGGAAACTGTAGATGTGGCCTTAAATCCTATATTTCCAAATGTATCTTTCACCTCCTCTAACTTTTAAGACTGTCAGAAATGCTGTTTGAGAAATACTTGGACAAATAAGCAAGACAAAATGTTGCTAGTTCACATTTTAGAAACTCTTCCCCTGGAGTCAGCTGCTAAAATATTGTAGGATGGAAACTATGCTAATGATGGCTTATGATACACTGCAAAACACACTCAACTAGCTGCCAAACTGCTGGAGTGACTGAGTAGCAGACAGCTACCTAAAGTGTCTAGAAAATCAGGGTTGAGCCAAGAATGTGGAAAATAACTGAGTAACCCTGACTTAATTTTCTGTTGTGGAATATCTGTTGAATTAAAGTGCATTAGATGTAACTGTAGAGTTTGGCTTCCCCTCAACATGGTTGATATATGTAGCAAAAATAAAATAAATGTGATTTATTTCCCAGAACATAATCTTACAAATTGGCATGGACTGTGCAAACCTGCTACATTGCAGAAAATGGCTGCATGGTTGGAAAAGACTTACTAGTCACCACATTGCCTCAGCTGCTGGTGCAGTGGACCTAGGATTATGGACTTTTTTCCTCTTTGAGGAAATCCTCTTCACAGAGAGCAAGAAGTGCATCTGTATATGAATTCTCTTCTTAGCAGAAGAAACTTTTTAGTACCTGGTTGCCATTCTGGTCATGAAAAAGTTGAAACTTAGAATATTGCTATTTTTGAGACCTAAGTGTTACGGTGTGTGGTCACAAAACACTTAGAAGTTCACAATTTCCAAATATTTATGTATGTTTAAACTTAAGAAATTACTTATGTTTGTTATTAGAACTGCACTAGCAATTTGCAGTATATTTTTCCTATGTAACGGGGGGTTATATAAACATTGAGGTGAAATGAAGTAATTCTTTACCAACATGATAAATGAATAAGGCTAGAACAGGGATGACTAATCTCTGGCATGAGAGTCATGAGTGGTACAGGCAACCTCTGTGTGGTACATGGCAGGTCAGGGAAGGAAGGGGAAGGCAGCACAAAGCAGAGCAGCAGATTTGGACAGGGGAAGGGGGCTGGAGTGGCACCCAAGGATGGCATGGGGCTTTTATTTATGGCATGCCTGCTAAAAGGTCTAGGTAGAAATATTAACTTCATTATGATTTCAGCTTGTGTCTCTGCATTTGTCTGTTTGCTACTATCTCTCTCCTGTTTGTCAAGCTGCTACCTTTGCTTTGTTTAGTCTCCATTGAAAACGTATTTTTTCAAAGCTTATAAATTAACATTGTATAAAGGAAATTTAAAGAACTACAACC